TTTCATTTATGTGATCGGCCTGCATTTAAAATGAACATTTACCATAAATTAAAGGTATCTTATATTATTAGATATATTATTATAAAACATGCTTTAGTTAAGGAGTTATTAATACTTCAAGTACAAAATGATGATATAAAACCTTGATAAAAATACACTTTTAAGTATCAATCACACTTGGAAGAAGACATAAATCTTTTGATCGTGTCACTTCAATACAGATTATTGTTGTGACAAGCTTAATTCTAAACTGTGGGTCTCGGGACCTTTATATCCACAGCGTTCATATCAATATTTTCCTAAATCATAGCTATCTTCATCTCTTTTAGGTAATTTTCCACACTCTTAGAAACTTGAGTAAGACTTTGTAACTCCTAATATAGGTCTTTTTAGTAATGGTAAGCCAATCTTCTTTTCATGATAACCTTCATTTCATCCCAAGTTTCAATAGACCTTTCTGTTGTGATATCGTGGTCGCATAAATTAATTACCCTAGCTTAAAACACAACAAACAAGATAATATAGAACAAGCAAGGGGTCGATCCCACGAGGAAGGTTTAAGTCAAATTTTTATGCTAGATGATATGCAACTTGGGGGGGTTTTGGATGTTATCTAAGCTAAAGCAAAAGAAATTAGAAAATTATCAAGCAAAATTAAATAAAATTAGAAAATTATCAAGAGAACAAACCTTGGTCATAAGTACACATCCACCTACAGAAATCAGAACTGATCATCAAAACAAAGCATTAATTTATATTCTGAATATCTATCTCTTCTTAACATTGTTTAGTTAACGGATCCACCGTATAACTAACCCTAACCATCAAACAACCACAATGTCCGCACTAGTAATTTAATTCAATGGCAGCTTTAAGAACTAAATAAGTTGATTAATCAAGAAAACATAACTATCCGCAGTCTATGTTTGATTTGATTGAATGTTCTCCCTCATATTAATAACGTAGATCTGCCACAATTATTAAACTCAGTTACTTCACAAGTTCATATACCACAACTCCGATTTTGATATCAAACTTAGCAATAGATTGTCTACAATAATAACTTAGAGTCCGCTCTAATAATTAAAATAAACAATGATAGGAAAAATAAGCATAGGAGAACAAACATATTCATCATATAAATTGAAAATAAAAGGTAAAATAAATTTCACAGTCCTTGCAACCAAGAAAAAGTGTTTAGCCTTGTATGTTTATTGAACAACTGATAAAAAAAAAAAAGGAATAATGTATAATTTTGATTTTCTTAGAGGAGGGGAGTGTTTTTCTCTTCTTGGGTGGTTGCCCCCCCTTCTCTTCTCTCATTCTTTTTATATCCTAAGAAATCCTAATCTCCATTTTACAAAATAGTCCTCCTTTAAGTAGACAGTTTACATTTAAGTACTTCAATAACTATTTTAAAAAAAAAACAAGAAGAAATAGCCTTGCATGAAATCTTTAAGATTTGACTTAGAGGAGCTAAATTGCGAAAATAAAAACTTGGATATCATTTTAGATGCTTCGGAATGTAATTTGGACTCATTTCTTCATGAAACCTATTTGTTGGTAGAATTCAGTTGTCATTTTTAAAAAATCATATCTCCCTCATATGACATCATTTTTTGTTGAAAATTTAATTTTTTATACAACTTTGAGTCAGGAATCCAAAAACATTTAGTTTGCATCAATTGGACTTTTGTAGCTCCAGATATTCAAGTCGGAATGGTAGAAGGTCAACATTGACAAATTGCAAGATTTAACTTTGAAAGTTGTGATTTTCATGCTCTTTCTTATTTTATTTTCTTACCTTAGATGTCTAGAAAGGTATGGATGTTAACCTTTTAATGCCACTAGAATCACTTCATTTCGACCTCTAGAGCTCACGCTCTGCACAAAATATCGACTGAAGGTCAAATCTGCTAATTACCTCAAATTTATTCTTTTTTGCATGTTTCATCTAAAAGTGCCTTCAAAACATACAATAAAGAATATCAATGCATTTTATATATAAAACATAGGCAAAACACTAGTTAAATATGGGTGAAACTATCAAATAATATGGTTACATCACTTTCATGATTTCTCATTTTATTCATCACAAGCTTATCCCATCATATGATTGGATAGTTGTTAAACTCTATCATAGCTAACTTCATTTTTTTTTCTAAATAGATGTGTCATCTAATTTTTTCCTCCCACTCTAGGTAGGTTCCTAGATCATTTGTTCACTAAAATGAGGGAATTTTCATTTTAATACTCTCAAGGTTCTTATCTATACCATCATGACCTTTATTATCCCGTATAATTCCTTCATCATATGTCTATCACTATTGTGCTTAAATCTACCTATATCAACCATGGATATTTAATCACCTTCATCAATATCTTCATCCAGCCTTGGGTATGGAAGCACGTCTCGCTTGCCTTCTAGCATTAGGGACCTTTTCAAAATATCCTTTTTAAAAGTTAGCAATTCCAACGTCTTGTCTATCTTTTGATCTTTCATATCACCAAACACCATATTTATATGCTTAAATTATTGTTGCATTCCTTACAACACAAAGAATATGTTCTCCTTTTCCTTTATAGATGTTGACTTAGTTTTGGAAAACATATTCAAGAGCCATAAAAGATGTTAGTAATAAACCTCATACACTCCATTACATAATTGCCCTTAAAAATATATCACTTTACTTGTGTTTTTTACTCTTGACTCAGGTTTTTTCGATGTTAATCTTTGACTTTATTGTCTTTTTCCATTCTTACCTTTTTAGTTTTTTATTGAACTAAACGAATTCAGTAAAAAATAAAACTTGATTGTAATGTTCAAACTATAGAATTCAAAGGAAAAAAAAAGACAAACAAGAAATGATAAAGAAATTTAGGAAGGAAGAGCAAAAGAAATGGAATTAGGAAGCAAAAATGTCTAGCCTAAGTTAAATGAAATATGTAAAAAGAAAATTTAGCACCAAGAACTATTTTGAAAGTCAAATTAAACACTAAATATCAACAAATAAACACTTTCTCAAATAATAATTCAACAAAACATATTTAAGATTGAACTTCTTAGCTTGCATTTATGGTTTGTTTTTTTTTCACTGCAAAATGGAATTAACTAAAAGATTTTTTCTTTTTTTTTTAATCACTGCAAAACACAATTGTAAACGAGAAAACCTGAAAATTAAGAACACAAGCTAGAGTAATTTGCATTAACTGTTTTGATTAATGTGCACAATGTGAATTTTAAATCTATATGGTGTGATTTGATTCAAAAAACAATTATCTATGATGTAATCTTGAAACAAAAAGAAAAAGAAATCTGAACAATTAAAAAATAAGAATAAAACAAGAAATTAAATATAATAAATTTGATTTTAGAGTCAAGTTTTGATACCAACCTAATACAAACCTAAAAGGCTAAACCTTGAAACACACGATCAAGAATTGAAATACTCACCTAAAAAGTTAAAATCAGATTTGAAACTCCGACCCCATGATTTATGGAACCAAAAGACGAATACTGCAATGATTATGTCTTTGATAAACTCTGGAAGTTCAATAAAGAACCCAAAAAAGAAAGTCTCCCACACTGTATAGTTTTTAATGACTACAAAATTCCCCTTTCCAATGTTTTTTTCGGCTACTTATAAAATATACCTTGCAAAATAAACATTAATTAGATAATAGGTAAAATTAAATCCATATAATTATCTAACTTAAATCCAAAACTGAATAAGAATAAAGTAGAAAGATCATATTTTTAATTAATAAAGCTTAATCTGTTTATAATACATGTTAAACAACCTCAATGCTTTAATGTCATCTATTAATCAATCCATCACAAGCCCATGCTTGTATTAAATGAAATTCAATCTACATAACTATCTAGCTTTATATTTGATATCATGTATAAATTATCAATGTCTACTGAATTCAAATATCACGAATCAACCCATTACACGTCCATTTTTGTATTAAATGAGTTCCAATCCACGTAAGGAAAAGTTTTAAGAGGTTGTTCTTATTCCAATTCTTCGCCCAGTCATTGTTCAGATACTAACTCTCCGTCTCTAAAATGTTGCGTATTTGCCCATGCACATTATTACATGCATGCATGACTTCAAAATATTAAATTTTTCGGGGATAGGTCTCCCTTAGAGCTTGAGTGATCATTCGTTAATTTCTTCAATTCTGAAGGTAAGATCCACGTTTGGAATGTCTGTAGTGATGAAAGCAAGATCACAGTTACACTTGAAGATTGTAAGAAACATGAAGGCATCATTTTAAACATTGAAACAACGGTGAAGAAAATCAAGAACAGCTTGCAGAGGTTCGATGCAAACATTTAATTGCCTTTTCAAGTGAAAAAAAAAATACAATAACCTTCATGCTTGAGGCAAATACTAAATATCCTCGCAACAACATAGTATGAAGCGCGTAACTGGCAATTCGAGGCGGTAGTTTACCTGGTGATCCTAGGGACAAAAGAATCAGTAATCCACAGCGGAAATAACTACAGGATATACGTTTCAAGAATAATAAAGAATAAACAGAAAAATTGCATAGCAAGTTTCAACAGCTCCTTCCCACCAAGATCTACGTAATATTCACCTTGGACTTAGTGGCAAATTTACTTAACATCTTTTACGTTTTGCTGTAGAAGAACTACAATCACATTTTCTAATGACTGCAACCCATCACAATTTCGAACATAATTGCATCTTCTATTTTAGAAGATATCAGGAAAAGGAGGGGAGAGGAAAGGAATTTTGGGGTTAGGAGAGAAGAAAATTGATATCTAGCTAGCTCCCTGGAGAATGATAACAAGCTGCTTCCAAATGGATTCTGCAAGAGCCATTTCAGGAACATTCTATAACATAGTAGGTGCTGCAGATTGAAGGACATTCTAAATGCAAAACACAATGTAGCCTCCGCCTAGCTCATTGGTGGGAAGGGAAAAGAAATCTTCCCCAACAGCAACCCCAGAACTTCACCAAGCAAATACATTTCTTCCTGGGATCATCTTTATGCATAGTACATGTACAAGCTGTTTGCGGCAGCACAGGCAATGGAATTTTCAGTAGGATGCCACGCTAAGTGCAACAACTTTGTGGAGAAATCAAAAGAATTTCCATTTGCATCAACTCCTGGGCCTTCTGCTCCTGCTATCGAGTGATCTCCACATTAATACAATAAAAACAAGTTGTTAAGATGACAAAAGAACACGGAAGGAAGGAAGAAGAGGCAAAGTGAAAGCACTGACCCCGTCTTACAACACGTGTTATGCTGCTTAGGGATCTTGAAGGCCTTGAAGGGGTCTGGACTTGTCTCCTAATATTATAATTCATGATTTATAAGATGTCCCATCTCAACTATCAAAATCATTAGTCTGAATCTCATTCATATATCAAACAGAAACTACCTCATTGGATTTTTGCTGGCTTCCAAAGTTGTTGCCTCAGTACTTTCTAGGTTACAACCAAATACCCGAAACAGATTGCTGGGGACATGAAAAAAAATACCAAACTAAGGCACATGGATTTGTGGTTTCAATAACAATAATACAATGACCATAAGTAAGGACAAAAAAAACCACTGACCTGTAGGAGCCTGTCGCAACTCGCAATCCATCACCACTCAAACAACACTCGAATTTATCAAAGATTGAATCATTTTCATATAAATCACACAACTGGGTAAATTCAAAGAATATAATTAGAATGGACACAGCCTAACAAAGAAAATTCCCTGGTCCGATTTTGTCTAAAGAAAGGAATCTCACCTTTGGTCTTAAATGTTCATGCACTTGGAAGGATGCAACTGGACCAGAATCCATATTGATATCCCACAACTATAATAAAGAAAATAGACAACTGAGAATCATGAAATTGAAATTGCTACTTAACTTCAAGTACATGCATGCATTAGGTGCCATGAAAACAAAATCATCTTAAATACTAGATTGTAGTTTTTTGAAACATCAGCACAAAGCAGAACCAGAAGTAATAGTTGCTTGAGAAATCTTTCCAAGAAAATAGAAAACTAAGGCAGATTGTTTTTACCAGCGGACAGTTTTCTTGGAAGACTTCGTTTCTAAATTTACCAAGCTTAGAGAAATAAGTTCTCCATTTTACTACTAATTCCCATATTCAGCAAATATAGTTTACCAAACATTTTGCAATTATGAAAAAGAGAGATTCTTATTTCAACAGTCAAATGCATTTTTCAAACAGATGAATTAAAAAAAAAACACATAGCAAATTAGTCTTGAAGTAAACAAAACCTATAACGTGCTCATGCACTCCATACATGCAAAATTAACAAATCAACTAGAATAAAAATTTGGATAAGCTACACATCACAAATAAAACTTAAAACAAATTTTACACGAACAGACAAATGGGCAAGAGATGTAAATCTATTAAACTTCTAAGTCAATTATTTCATGTCTATTTGTGTAAAATTTGTAACTTTCATTCCTTGTATTTATTTTTGTTTTAAAAATATCTGAAAGTTACAAACTAACATGACACGCATCATCAATCCAAACTCTTGCCATCATCCAGTAGTTTGCATTTCTATAAGTTCATATAAGGTAAGCCCAACGTTGTTCTTTGCTCAAAATGGCTTCAAGGGAAACGAAGTACTAATGTTGACCAGCTAGCAAAAATGCTTAGGTTTTTGCTTAGATGCTTATTGTAATATAAAATTTCATGAAGCACTCAATTTCCCTGAGCCAGTTACTTATCATGAAATTTCATACAGAACTCATTTTCCCTGAATCAGCTCATCTTGACACCATAGCATAAATTGAAACACTTGATCAAGTAAAGAAAAAAAAAAAAAAAAAAAAAAAAAAAAAAAAAAAAAAAAAAAAAAAAAAAAAAAAAAAAAAAAAAAAAAAAAAAAAAAAAAAAAAAAAAAAAAAAAAAAAAAAAAAAAAAAAAAAAAAAAAAAAAAAAAAAAAACATAAAATAAAAAAGCAGAATACCAACATTCTTTTTACCTTTATGGTTTTCAGATTAATAGCACGAGTCGTCCTATTATGTACTTACTGTCCAATGTCTTGGAACCTTGTTATGGACATAACCTCCTGTTTCTTGCTTCCCACAACAGGTCATAGATAAAACAAATTCGCAGGAAAAGTCAAATTCTATCTCTAGACATTTTGCTTGATGAATATTGCATTTGTTGGAATCATACTGTTTGGAAATCCTATGATTGCAGAGATGGACATTTCTTCTGTGCTTATAAGCCACAACATAGCATGCTTAGGAGGCCAGTTTTAACCCTTGACTCCTATGAATATATCTATCGAAAAGACTTGCAGCAAATTCAATGAAAAATTATGAACCAAAATCTTTGCAATTATATAAGTCCATACCTTAAGAGTCATGTAATCACGACTGAGTATATGTCTTCCATCCCTTGCAAATTTAATATCAGAGATTGAGGCAATTATTTCTGTAAAAAATGATCTGGAGCCTGGTGCCTCTGGTTCCTCAAACCTGTATGCAGAGGATTTTACTGGTGGGCTGTTTATAGTACTGGAAGTAAATGAGCGATATAAAATAACACTTACAATTTGGCATGAGAGTCGCACAAAGCTGATTGTCGCAAATCAATGAGTCGGATTGAGCCTTTTGAACTGCTGTATGCTAATGTATTGCAATGGCCAGGATGGAATTCTGCTGATGTTATAACCTCTGCAAGGATAAGTGTACAGGTTGAGACCTCAAAAGAATATAGGTAATGCAGATGCTTAGCGGTTGAAATAATCAATTACTCAACCAAAGGGAGGACAGTCGATGGCAAACATTGTCCAGTATCTATTCAGAAATTCATATGGGAAGGCGAAGGACAGTATTGAAAAAACAGTTCATGTGCACCAGGAAAACCAACTGAATTCCAAAAGGTGAAATATACAAAGCCAGAATCCTCAAAATTTGATCACAAGTAAATTAATGCTTAAATTTACATCCTTAATACAATCAGCATCAGTGAACAAAGAGCTTACCAGTAAGATCCTCCATATTTGCAGGTTTGACATCAACAATATTGAAACTTTGATTGCTAATTTCCAAATTCCAAAGATTTATTCGTAGGTCATCGGCAGATATAAAAGTTTCACCATCACTGGAATATATGACACAGGATGGAAAGATTAGAGCAATTTCAATAAATCATAACAATATCAGACAAGCTTGAACAAACAGAGAGATGCTAGTCCAGTGACAATAATCTTTCATTATGTGTTCCATTAGAAGCAATGAGCAAAACTAGCATGTCTAGAAACCCTCAATATGCAATGTCTAGCACGACAGAGCCAATGATAATGCAAAGAACAAGCCAATACCATCCAATTTGCATGTACAGTGCAATTTCGTTCTTCAAAAAGGACAAATTGAACAAATGAAAAAGGCAAGATAAAATTGAGAAAGAAAAAACTAAGGTCGGTGACTATAGAGACACTTAAACTCAATAACATTTATAGCTCAAATGTACACTGTTTTAATGTGTGAGATTTTTAGCTTGCCACTTTAAGAAATAAAAACCAACTTTACAAGCCTGAAGAAGAGTTCCTAGAATCTTCCATCATTGCATTTTGAGGCAACTGTAATGGGATAGGTTTTCATTTCTTTTATGGGATATCAGGCGGCTTAGAATGATTCCTTTTGGCTATATTCAGAAAAGATGTGCTCCTGTTTGTTCCTCTTTGCTTTTCTCTTTCTTATATTGTCTATCTTAAGAATTACAACAGGCCAAAACACGGTTCTTTTCATTTGTAGAAACATTCCAAATAAAAAATAAGTGGCACAAAATCTTATCATCTCTGTCTTCCTCCCCAATTTTAAAGCCCATGGGACTCAATAACATTACAAAAGAGCACCTTAGAAACAAACCATGCTACAAGCACATAGCAATAAAATATACAACACAACATCAGTAGCAATGCTGCTCTTTTATCACCATTTCAGTTTTTCTTGAGAAACAAAATTCATGAATGCCAATTAGTAGTGACAGATTTCCATCATCAACAACAAAAAAGGGAAAAATTGAAACATACATCTGTAGACTGTTTTAAAGTCTAATCATTGTCCAAGAATGAACCCAAGAACTAAACAATAATGAAAACCTTAAAAGAACAAAACTAATGAAAACAGATGCAACTACAAGCTCAAAACAACCACAAAAGAAAAGGAATGACCTGTTGTTTGAAATTGAATTAATATGATAATCATGAGCATGAGCATATACCCTTCGACAACTAGCCATCAAGCTTGTCTCATCGCACGTCACCTAAGAGTTAGATCCAAAAAAGATAATGCAAGCAGTTCAAATAACAAATCAACCTCATCAGAAAAACTGTTTCCATTTATCAACACCACCCACACCCACCCCCCACTCCAGCCCTAAAAAGGAAAATATAAGACTTCCAGAATTTGATTCATACCTCATATATCTAGCATTAAAAAAAGAAAGAAAAAAAAAACACAAATAGAGGGTGCAAAGGGAAACCAACTTACTCATTATTTGTTTTAGTAACCATAGCATCAAATGCTACACCAGTAACATAGAAAGGTTACAAAATCAATTGAAAGCATTGTTCCCTTGAACAAGGACGCCTTTAAAAAATGCACTACTGCATATGAGGATGAGTGACAAGTGGAGATAAGACAAAATTCTTTCAGAGTGTTTGGTTGCTTTAAATTTTCTTTTGGTGACTTATTCAGCTGTTAAGCGATCCAGTTATTGGGATTTCCTTCAGTTTTTTGAGATCTTGCATTATGGATTATCGTTATAATTGAACAACAGTCTGTTTCATAAAATGACAAGCTTTTTTTTGCATGGTCTGTTCCATTGTGTTATCATCTTTCCATTTTAATGTAAGGCCTATTATTTCTTCTCCATCCTGTGATTTTTCATGGATGGCCCTTTCCTATGGTACATTTGAATGGGGAGAAAAACAAGGCTTGACTTCCAAGAATACATTAACAAATCAATTAAGGAAGTTTTTGAATAGCAAAAGATTCTGTAGTCATAAAGTTACATTGGAGGAATCAATTCAAGGAAAATTGTACTTCATACTGTTTCAGACATGAGCAAGTCTATTTTGGATTTAAAAAAAAAATGTGGAAACTGGAATTAGTTTTACTTATTAAAAAAATATAACCAATTCACAAAAGGAAAAGGAAAAGAAATGGAATGGTTTAAGTACAACTACCACTGGTAAACGCAATGATGGAAAGCCCCCAGGAGGAATGCTGAAGTCATTGCTTGGTAAATCGTACTTGTCTCCTCCATTTGCAAGATATTGTTTACCAATACTTGAATTGCTTGAACTGGCAATGCTACCATTTCCTATAGCTTTAGAAGGGTCCACATTCATTTCAGAAATTTTCTTCACCTTCTTCTCTTGGACCTGTACAATTCTCATAAAGAAATATCAAAAAAATAAGTGGGCTTAAAATGTAGCAACCATGGACCAAAATATCAATAATAATATCACTTGAAACAGTCAGGACAAGGAGTTGATATATGAGGTGTTCCACTTTTGATAAACCTAGACATTATGATTTTAAGATACACTTAGACATTATGAGTATAAGCCCACATTTGAGCACAGATAATAAAATTCATCATGCATACATTTATGGGGATGCATGCTACACATTCAAAACTCTCTAAAACACTACTATGCATTCAAGCTCTCTTGAACACATTCTGACTAATTATATAGCCCTTTGTTATGCACTAAGTTGCAGTGTTTCTGTAAAGCGGCAAATGAGTAACATCCTATATGCTTTTGACACAACAAGTAAACACCATAACATGCTATACACAGTTTCATTTACATACCTCTCATATAAACTATGACTAGATCCTTGTACACAAGACTATTTGATAGGACAAATTCAAAGACAGAAAAAAACTTAATTAAGATTTTTGATAAAAAAAAAATGGCCTCCAAGCAGATCAATAAAAAAATTATTATATTTGTTCTCATTTTTATGCCATGTGAACAGAAGCATGCTGGCCATTGGCCAGGTAGCATGATAACAGACTAGGTAGTTGAAGCTCACTAGTAGACATAATAAATGAAAAGTATTTAGCCTTTCATCATGCTTCAAGATAACATTAACGTTCCTTTCCTACCTTCCAATACTTGATGGTTTTATCATTAGTAGATAGGAGAAAAAGAGCACCATTGGTTGTTTGGCACCATCTGATTTTGTTAATTTTCTCCTCTATTTCCAAACTCTTGAGATAGTCAAACTGAAAAAAGAAATGAACATGCAAGTGTGAATGTCAGAAGCTTGGTAAGCCAAAATGCATCTGAAATCAGACCAAGAATAAATGACAGAAAAGAAGACCTCAGGTTCATGGCTCTGAAATTCTGTTTTATATCGAAACTCAGGATGCCTACTAATTGGGTAACCCATCCTCTCCAGATCCCTTCTGGATCCACCATGCTACACATTACAGAACAGGTTTGTCATAATATGCCACTAACATGACAACAATCCACTAGCAAGAAAATATTAGCAAAAATATCAATATTGCATTTTGCTAACAAAGCTAGAAAGGGAAGAAAGAGCACACATCCTTAGTGTCAGTTCTCTCAAAGAGAACCACACGGCCTCCACGGTCACCAGTAGCAAGATGATCACCACTTCTATCAAATTCAATAGCTGAAATAATATCAACTGCATAAAGAAACACAATAAGATTAAGGAATTTTATTATATTTTCTACCATACAGTTGAAAATAATATTATTGTAGCACAAACAAAATATATGAGCTTGTTGAAATGCATAGCAAACAAATAAATAAACACATAAACAAATAACATATACAGCGTGAAAATAAGAACAATACAAACCAAAACATCATTATCAGTGATTCCCAAACAAAGAAAGAAGTTACTGGCTCTCAATGAGCAGCACATTGTGAGAGTATCCAATAGGACACCAACAAAGCTCCTAAAACAGAATGTCCTTTGTACTTGCTGGAGGTAGATAGCAAGGTAAGCAGGGTCTTGCATAAACAAAATATAATCTAATAAACAGCTTGCTCTTTTCTCCCACATAATGCTGGATCTTTAGCAAAAAGTCATTTTTTACATATACAGATTACTGAACTCAAGATTTGTACTTGCCAACCAAACAAGCAGCCATTCTACTTCCCTGTGCACCAATAAAAAAAAGATTTGCCAGGGCAATAACAATCAAATACTCAGTTTCATAGCAGTGATGGCACAATTCCGCAACCCCGTCCTTGAACCAAAAGAAGACTTTCAAGATAAGTTTCTCAATAAAAATCTTGTCTGATATCCACAACTATCTTTTCCAAGTGAAAGAAAATAGCTTCAAAGAACACTCTATACTACAATCCTCCTAGAGAAATTATAACAATCTTTTCCAAATGAAAGAACGTAACTTCTAATGCCACTCTGTACCAGAATTCTCCTAGAGAAATTATTGTGATTCCTTTGATGTAGAAATATATACTTTCAGCAACAAACTTTATGTCCCTTGTTTTAAATATTAAGGATATTCACTCCTATCTATCTAGAGATTCAATCTTCTACCATCAAGTCCTCGATAAAAGAAACCATCGAATGGAAACATTCATTTCTCAAGGTCACTCTTTACCAAACCACCTCAAAGTCATAAACCTTGGCATCTCAACTACTGGCAGACAGTTTTGGCACTTACTACTTGTCACTATGTTTATTCATATTAATCCATCATCTCATCTGCAATGTTGTAAGTTTTAGATGTGCAACCTTCAGGAAAAATGCATAGATGAAGGTCTAGACTGTTCCAGATGTTATTTCCCAAAATCGTGCTCCAACATAAACACAAGTGGATCGTTCCTTCATTTCTTCTTTAGTTTAAATAACATCTAATAATCCTTCTTCATGTTCACAGTTTTCATTCCACTTCAGTAACAAATGGGACAAAGCATCCCTTCTACTTACCTCGTTCCATAACCTCTCAAAGCTTTAAAAATACATGCATGTCCCTTTTTCTGGAATGCCACCTAACTCACCATCCTCATTTTGGATTAACTCTTGTTGTTGTATATCTAAAGATAAACCACCAATGACATTTCTTCCATGGGGTTTCTTTATTGTAACCCTCCTCCAAGTCAGAGAAACCTCTCATTAAATTTACACAAGGTTGGAAATGATGCAGAAAAAACCATTCGGCTGATTTTCAAACCAATATAAATCAAGCAACATCCAGAGATATAGGCAAGGAAAAAATAAAAGTAAAACTCTGAAGCTCTATTCAACTCGAAAGAAGTTTCTCATATTCTCCGTGCGTGTTGTTCTTGAACAACGAATAACAAGAAAAAAAGGAAAAAACTTAGGTCTCCCACCAAACCTGCCCTAATCACTTATATATATATATATATATATATATGTAAAATGTATTCAATTATAAACCGAAGAAAAAATAATTATCCATAGAAACACAAAAAAGTCTAATTACACTTCACTAAATCAAACATATCAACTACGTAACAAACTCCAAACTGATTATTGGTTATACAAAATCATTAAGATCCAAACTATAGCCATCAAGTTCAAGTAATCTGCAACTTATAAATAAAACACCCATTGCATGCAACATCATAAAAATTAAATTAAAAAAAAAAAAAACACCAAAGCCCATCCTCTCAACATTTTCATATCTTAAATGAGAGATATATTGTTATATTATTTATTATTATAATAAAAATAAAAATAATTCAACCATTGAGACAGAGTTCTCTTCTCTGCTTGCCTTTCTGTTTTTTGGTTTGGTCTTTTCCTTTTCCCCTTTTTTTTTTCACTTTGTATTTCCCCGGAGGCCAAATGAGAAAAATAAAATTCCACTTTCTCTCTCGGGAAAAAGGAAAACCCAAGAACACAATGTTTACTTAAAAGTAGAAAATGGGGATTTTAATGGATTTTTCTTCTACATTTTTTTTTTCTTCAAGGACGAGGGGTAAATTAATTATATTATAGTTTTAAAATCTGGACCGATCTAGTTAATTGGCTTGAGACCTAGTTGATCCGGGTCTGAAATTAGTCCGAGCCTAAATAAAAACTCGGCTGAGAGTTGGCTTGATAAAACTCGGTCGACCCACTTGCCTGAAAGGTGGTCCGGTGAAACTCAGTCGACCCGGCAGGTAGACCCGCAATCCAGGCAGACTCAGTTGAGAGCCGAACATCTTTTTTTTTGAACCTAAATAAAAATTCGGCTGAGAGTTGGCTCGATAAAACTCGGTCGACCCACCCGCCTGGAAGGTAGTCCGGTGAAACTCAATCGACCTGGCAGGTAGACCCGCAATCCAGGCAGACTCAGTTGAGAGCCAAACTTCTTTTTTTTCATATACACAGCAAACATCCCCTCTATCAATGGACTCTACTTTTATTAAGCCTCTAGTAATGATCCCTACTCGTTCCCTCCAATTCATCAAGCCTAGACAACCCCTGCCTCGACAGAGTGTATAGAACTCAACATTATGAAGCGCAATCCACGCAACCTTCCTAAATTTTAATACATTTTTCTTTTTTATCTCACCTTAAAAAAATATATATTAATAAAATACTAAAAAAAAAACTCAACATTTATCAAAATATATATTAATAAAATACTAAAAAAAATGGTGTTCTTTTTTTTCCTCTCTCACTAAAGCTCCCACACTCACAACCTTTATCAAAATCTACTAAGTTAAATCCTACATTACAATTCAGATCTCCACATGTTAATGCTATCTCTCAATCCCACCCTAAAATACTTATAGTTATTAATTAGTATATAAAAATGCATTCTCATCAAGGCTTTATATCATCAAATTACACTTAAAGTATCATTAAATTCCCTAACTTAAGCTTATTTTATAATAACAAATCTGATAATATAAGATAGCTTTAATTTATAGTAAATGTTCATTTTAAATGCAGACATATCTCATAATTTAAAAGATTGATTGATGTGATTAACTATTGCAAGTGAAAGAACAAAGAAAATGTTAAGTTTAGAAAAGAGATGCTAATTCAATTTAAATTAGAACACTATTCAATCATTGAGTCATATCTAGAGCTGTAAAACTTGGATTTCAGTTTGGTTTTTATGGCTTGAAAGCTAAGATATAGGCCTAAAACATTCCTGAGAGTTCAGGACTTATTTCTGCCATTTAGAAGTCCAAATCTTAGCAATAAAAAAGAAGTCTAAATCTGTCATATAGCCTAGTTGTTTAGTGTTTAGCTCATATCTAGAGTTCTAAAAGTCCAAATAGCCTTATTCTTGTTTTGTTGAAAAGTTGAAATAATTTTCTAGAACTTTCATGAAGACTATCTGTTCAGATTCTAATGTTAGCAATGACGTTTTATATAGACAAGAAGATAAAGATTGTTACCAAGTCAAGAGGAGACCACCGACTTAATAATTAGTTATCAAATCAATAGTTTCAAATTTTAGTATATAAAAGGAGGCATTTGTCATGCATTTAGGCATCTTGGTTTTCATATCAAGATCTTGATTTTGCTCTCTCTCTTTGTATTTTGTAACATTCAAGTTTTATTCCACATTATATTTTCTTTAATATATTATTTATGCTTTCTATTTCCTTTACTATACTTAATAATTATGTTTTTATCTTGTTTTTCTATATTTATCTTATTCATAATGTTCAGCTAAGTTTATTATGTCAAGGTGAAAAGGTTATACTAATGGTGTAAGAATAAATCTAGCATAAACTTAACATGGATTTTAATGTTTGATAGTAATATATTTTGTATCTATTATCTTACTCACTCTAAATACCTTGCTTGTTAAATGGTTAATCTAGATTTATATTGAACAACCCTTGGTATAACAAATACTTGGTACTTTCATAGCCCAACTGTATAGTATAACCGACACCCGTGCTATGAAAAGAATTTGATTTGTTGTTAACATAAGTTATCACTATGAATACCTAACAACATTTACAAGTATTGGCATTACTCAAATAACATGATTAATATAATCATGTTAATAAATTATAATTCGATTGTAACCTTCTTTGTTTATGGTTTCCAATTAAATAATAAAAAGAGTTTATATTATACATACTTGAAATATCATTAATGGATCCTCTAACCTTGACAATTGTTTTATATTTGTTCAAATCCTTACATTAATATCACATCTCAAAACTCTCTTCAACTTCTTTTTCATTATTAACTATTTCTTTATTTGTAGTTTATACAGTTAACCTTCCTATGGTTTGACCTTGGTCTTGCCGAGTTATTTATTATTTTGACACTTCTACACTTGGAAGAAGACATCGATTTTTTTTTTATGATTAGTATTTAAAAGTGCATTTTTATCAAGATTTTATATCATTATTTTGCACTTGAAGTATCAACAACTCCTTGATTAGAGCATGTTTTATAATAACAAGTCTGATAATATAAGATACCTTTAATTTATGGTAAATATTCATTTTAAATGCAGGCCTATCACATAAATCAAAGAATTGATTGATGAGTTTAATTACTAAAATTGAAAAGACAAGAAGAGGGCTAAGTTTAGAAAAGAGGTGCTGATTGAATTCAAATTGGAACACCATTCAGTTATTGGATCATAAATGGAGCTATAGAACTTGTATTTAGGTCTGGTTTATATGGATAGAAAGTTAAGATATAGGTCTCAAACTTTTATGAGAGTCTAAAATTCAAAAGGACCATTTTCAAGTTCAAATTATAGTAATAACAGAGAAGTTAAAAGTT